GGTCCAAAAACCCCTTAGGCGTTTTGGCTTTCGCCAGGAACGGAGCTGGTCCATTGCTATGGAACCTTTTCTTCAGCCGAATTATGGGCCACTTACGGACGCCCGGCACGACAAAGAAATTGAACATACGATCACAGATGAATAGATTCTCATTTGATTTGATATATGATGATGTTCATCTATTCATAAATGTATCAAATGATATATACATATAAATTATATATTATATTTGGTTGTATATGTATATATATATATGATTGTATGTGTATATATATATGTGATTGTATATGTTCTATGATTATGTATATATATATATATGATTGTATATGTTCTATGATTATGTATATATATATATATGGTTCTGATTCTGATCATATATATATAGAATACATAATATATATATCTATCTATCTATCTATCTATCTATATATATATGTATTTATATATATATATGTATTTATATATATATATGTATTGTGTAGATGGTTGGATTGGTAGTTTCTGTTTACCTTCACATATCTTTGTGCACATGTGCAGCTCTCAACTGACCCTTGTTGGAGGGTTTGGACCCAGGATTTCTTCCGTTGGAAGCGATGGAGAGTCCGGATGAGGCCAATCTGGGCGAGGAGGGTTGCTGGTCAGTGACGGATGGATGGATGATGGATAGATAGGTTACATACAGTATCCCTTGTTTGCACTAGAGGTAATGTTGGGGCCAAACACCTCTAGTCTTGCCCGCGCCTGTTGGCCCGGCTTCTTCGCACAAGCTGAAAACGTGGTTTAATTAAAAAAAAAATAGCCCTATGGTTCACTTGATGTTCTAGAGCAGAACGCACAGCATAGGGACCTGTGCGGGTTCGTTCCACATCATCATCATCATCATCATCAACAACAGCAACAACATCCACATCATCTGACATGATCATCAAGATTATGATGATGATGATCATCATCATCATCATAATGAATGAAGATCTTCAACGAATACAGAAGTTTACCGGGGGTAGGAGAATTAAGCCTTTATTGAAGATCTTCAATGAATGTAGAAGTTTACCCGGGGTGGGAGAATAAAACCTTATTAAAGATCTTCAATGAATGTAGAAGTTTGAAGGGGGTGGGAGAGTTAACCCTTATTGAAGATCTTCAATGAATGTAGACGTTCAATGGGGGTGGGAGAATTAAACCCTTATTGCAGAACTTCAATGAATGTAAAGTTCAACGGGGATGGGACTTTTATATTCCCTAATACTCGTACCTTTGTTGATCTTCCCAAGACAAGAAGGAAACGGGGTGTTTGCGCGTAATATTACAGGTCTGGTATGTACGCTGCACTGTATATATATATATATCATATTATACTATACTATACTATATTATGTGATATTAAATTAAATCATATTTGATTTTTTCAATATTATATTTTACTATATTATACTATATTAATTTATATCACATTATGTTTAAAAAAAACATCTATATTTTAATATATTGTACTCTATTATGTTTTATTATATGTTGTTTTTATTATTTTGTATTTTTGTTTAAATATAGTATATTATGTATGTTTTTTTATTTTAATATATTATATTTTATTGTATTATATTTTTTATTTTATGTTATGTTATGTTATATTTGATTATAACACATTACAACATATTAAAATATATTGTAACATAAATTATATCTTAAACTAAGGAACAGTCGTTACGGACCAAAATCAGATCGAAAGTCCGACACTTGCATCTACATAATAACATATGTATATAATTGTACATATATTTATATATTTATACGTATACAGTGGCATTTGGCAATTTTTGACATATCAAGACCATTTGGTTGTCTTTGTTGTGTTTGTTTCTGCTTTCCTTGGGGGGCCCAAGTTGAAACTCAGGCTCCGCTGATCTCTGTTCCTCTGGTTGCTTGGCCGGTAGAGTTGTGATGCTGTCCTGCTGTTTGTCCATGGAATATGCAAAGTTTTTTTTTCCGCACACTCTACACCCAGTGCCAACAGGTTGAGCGGTAAACCACAAATTTGTTGGTGAGACAATCTTGAGGATATATGAGGATATAATCAAACAAGAGGTAAAGTAGAATGTAGTTTGTATTCTTTTGTGAAGCGTCACATAAAGCCCGCAGCCATCCCCAAGAGTTTGGGCGTCTACACTAGCAGCTGGGTTCACAGAAAGGCGTTCCGCTCATGCAAGATACGGTTGCTATGAAAAGGTCGTTAAATATTGGGATCAGAAGAAAAATCTCTGCAAAATACCATCCCTACCTTGGAAAAATTGGAAAGAGGTTGAACGTGTCTGTATCTGGTTTGTCATTCATACCGCGGGCTAGCTAAACACAGACCGTGCCAGCACCAAAGTGCACATTCAACATGGAGGTCGTGTCGCTGTGAACATCCAGGGAAAGTATGGATACCTGTCTTTGCCCTAATGCATATACACGCATGTTTGGTTTCATGTCAATCGTTATCTTTGTCTATGGATGCATGTGTGTATATATATATGTACGCTTGTTGTATGCCAAGTCGGAACTATCAGCAATTAGCAGAAACATGTGTTTCGGTGAGCGTGTGTATATAGTCATGAATGCATACAATATCGCTTATGTATCTGTTTGTTTTTCCTATGTGTATATTTATATATATAAATATATTAACATGTAAATTGTTTCTGGGTGTTTCTCAACTGACTGCGGGTCCGTCATATGAGTCTTAGGGGTCTGGTGGCGTCCAACCTGACCAGCTGAAGCAGTTGAAGCAGAAGCTGGAACCAAGGCATGCCATGTCTGCGATCTACCCTTGTTAGTTGATGATGAGATCGTCACGAAAAATGAGGGTTTTAAAGTTTTAACATGTTTCAACAATCAAAATAAATGTATATAAGATATAATATAATATATATATATATTTATATCATTGAATCATTGAATATATATAGCTGATGAATGATGGTTGATTGATGATTGTTTCAGGGACTGTGCTCCTTTTTTCAAGCTGGGGAAAGACATGATCCACGATGGGATTGTTTTCTTTGTGTGTGTGTGTCCGACCTTTTTTCAAGCGTTTAACCATGTTTAACCTTTGTTTTGTCCTTGTGGTATTTGTGGTTGTGTCTCTAAATGTGGGTTAAGCCATTTGGAACCACCAAGCAGCTGCAGGCATTGGCTGGATGAGCAAACCCTGCTGTTTGCTCCCCGGCACAAAACGGGGATGCTTGGGAATTACCCTCTGGAAATTGAAGTTGCAATTGCATATTATCATTGTTGGTTGATTTAGTTCAATCTATGGATTGGGAATTGTTGATCGGTATTATTATGCTGCGGCTATTTTACATGCCTGGATGGAATGTTCTTACTTTCAATCGATCATCTTTGACTTTGGGCTACTTGGGCAACTGCGCATGTCAGCCTAAAAGTGGTTAACCAAATTGCTTGTCATGTGTGGTACTAATTGGCCAACTTACAACAGCGATCAAAAGCGTAGCCATTATCTCCAAGCATTGCAATAGCCAAGTTGCAATTACTTGTTTGCAAGCCGCAACACATGAAGCATGGTTGCGCTTGGGAAAAGGATCCACAGGTGTGACAACAACATTTGAGGCAATGAGCAGGGTGTGGAACATGTCCCATTTTAACCCCCTTTGGGGAAGCACCTAGACATGTCACCAATGGGACAGTTACGACTGTTATAATTCGGGATTCTCCAGCTGGATTCATTTCCCTTGTTGGATCCAAGAAGTCACACAGCTGATGGCAGCTGGAAAAACCATGGCGATTGGGAAATTTGGGGTGTCCCTATTGGATTTGTCGACTCTCTGTCCGGGAAATTTTCTAGACTGTCTTGTTTCTTATGTCAAAACGATAAGAAATCGTCACAGTAAACCCTTCAAAGAGATAGAACTTCGTGATTTATCCATGGGATTTATCCTTATTTCAGTTTTGCTTTACGAGTTTGTTTTTGGTTGGTGGGTTACTAACCTATCAACCAGGGACTTTTTCTGTATCGACCATGGCCCCACCTCAGGAGATCCCCTGGGATCTGGAGGATGGACCTTTGGACCAGGTACTGGAGCTGAATTGGTCAGGGCCTTTTCGGCTGACCAGGGATAGCTCGATGGGTTTTTTTCGGAATGCCGAGGGGTGAATTCCGCTGGTTGCTGGTGACTGGACATGGCGCCATTATGACTTTACCATCATATTGGGAATGGAAAAATCATCCCAACTGACGAACTAACTCATATTTTTCAGAGGGGTAGGTATACCACCAACCAGATGGTTTATGATGGATGTAACATACATTGGCTGATGGATGTTGATGGTAAAAATGATAGATGCAACATGATTTGATGCATGATTTGACGATAGTTCATGGGTCTTTGAACGAAATTAAAACTGGGGCCGTCCACCTTTTATAGGCCCATAAGTCCATAAGTATCCTACGTCCTATCCAAGGAATCTCCTGGGTTCACATGTGAATCTGATTGTAGAACACATATGGATCATATGGGGTTTTCCATAGATATGGGATCTCCAAAATGGACAGGTTATAATGGAAGATCCTATGAAAATGGATGATTTAAGGGTAGCCCCATGGATTGGAAAGCTCCATGGACTCCATATTTTAATGATCAGCTGATGGTCTCCTCTGCAGCCATTGGTTCACCGCTTCGCCACATGGAGCCCTATATTTCCAGTGACCTGGAGAAGGGATCTGCAGTGATCCTGGAAAAAATTGATGAATTCAAGAATAGGTATTCTAAACTTACATAAAGACTCTAAGATATCAGATGATATCAGATATCAGGATTCAGGTTGAACACTTGGACTACTTCAGGCCCAAAGGTCACCTGACTTTCATGTCTTGATTCTATGTCTGCTTTTTAGCTTCCTATTGATTTGATTCGTATGCTCCACTTTTGCTCAACTTCCTGGGTAAAGACCACCCAAGTGCCTTGAGGCCCGGTATGTGTTCTGTTGGTTTGCCTTATCAACCTCAGACCCAGGGGGACCCACCAAATCCCATTCAAAAATTGGTATGTTGCCCCATAGTTCAAGGACTTTTACCATATTTTTACCCATGTTGACATGTATTTCCAGGGTCGAAGGTACTTGGAGGATTATTCAACTGGATGTAACTGGTTAGCCCTTGTTAGTAAGTCCCCTAAGCTTATCCGACCTATGCATGGATTCTAAATATATGTGTTAATGGGGACCTCACTGTGAGCTCCCTGGGATCAATGGTTAGGATTCGGGAAATCATCCTCTGGTGGCCTCATTTCAGATTAGTGACATATTATATGTGTATATATATATATATACTCTCTTGTAAATTAACAGTTCGACCCTGAAAATCAGCCATTTTTAGTGGTTTCACTACTCTTCCAACCCCCAAGTCAGGCCAGGGTCGAACTGTTGAAAATGGCCATAGAAATAGTGGATTTTCCCATTAAAAATGCTGATTTTCCATAGCTATGTTAATTTACTGGTTGGCCAATGTACCCAGAAATATATGGGACCAACATGTTTGATCCATCTCCCGTGACCTCTCCATGGGTTTCCAGGTTTTCCTTCGCAGGGGTCGACGAACCGCCTTCAGCTTAGCCTGCTGTCCGTGCATGGACCAACGCCCTCAGGACTGGCTGTGCATGTAATGAGAACCAGCCACAATCATGTTAATTGAAATTCATGTGATAGATAACGGGGAATGCAAATGCACTGCAAAAAAAATATAATGGGATATCTAAGTAGAAGCAACACTATTGCATGTTGGCATGTTTGAACATAGGCTTTGCCATGGCTATCCCACGTTATACCTTCAAATACACCTATTTTGAGGTCCATGGCAGGGACGTCTTCCAATCCCCAACTGGCAGAAATCGATCAGGTCACCATTTGGGGGTGAGTCCACTTCATTTTGACCCAAAGCCATTGTCTGGTTGGTGGTTTGGAACATGAATTGACTATTTTCCCCAATAGTTGGGAGGATGATCCAATCTGACTACATCTGACTTTCATATATTTTTCAGAGGTCAACCACCAACCAGTTATGGTTACCCAGGAATGCTTTGGTAAACAGAAGATGAATGGGATGGTGTCCCCGTCCCGTGTGGTAATCAGGACCCATTACAAAAAAGCGTTCGCATCCGCTGGGTTGAAGCCAAACACGTCGTGGCTTAAACGTTGCAAGCATGTATTTTTATTTGTTTGACGGGTACGTAGCAGTGATCTCATCCAAAGATTCAAGATACCAAAAAGCTATATAACAGCCGTTCATGTTCAGGGCTGAGAAATGTCATGTGTTTGGTGGGATCCTTTGTTTGCTGAGTGAACCGACCCACGAATCAATGGCTTTTCAGGAAAAGTCGTAAGTCCTAGGGGTCATTGACTTCAGATGTTCTGTCATGATTACCCTCCGGTAAACTAACATAACTATGGAAAATCACCATTAAAAATTGGGAAATTCCACTATAATTGGCCATTTTCAATAGCTATGTTAGTTTACCAGAGGGTATCTTACTTGCCATGTTTGTGCGAATATGCGGTGAAATTCTGTGAAATTGGTGAAATGCCACATTGCGTATTGTGGTGTATTGTTTATCTACGGAAGTGCCGCCGGTGGGTCAGAGAGGTGAAACCTTGACACCATTGGCTGGACATTTGGACTGTCGTATAGCATCAGGAACACTTTGTATATCATTCCGTTGGTATAGCAACGATATACTTATGATACACATGATATACTGATATTTTAAAAGAACTTCGTATATCATTGGTAGCCTTCGGGAGGTGCCAAATTAAAGTCTTTAGATTTCCGTAGGCCACTGCGAAACTGGATCAAGCATCTGTTTTCAATGATGTTATTGCATAAAAGTGCCAATGCATGCCAAAATGATGTTGTTTGATGAGTTTGATGTTGTTTGTTTCGCTACTCTCTCTCTCGGAGCAATATCTAGGACCAGGATAGGTTTAGATAGTTTCAATCAATGCAAACAGGTCCAGATGATCATATTCCACGTTACGTTGGTTGAGTAATCCCCACGTTGGTTGGTTTAGTTTCTTCTGATATCCCACGGATACTGTATAGGTTCGTCGGATCAAAAAAAAAAGCCCATACAACTGGTTGGAAGGTGATACTAAAGTACCCTTCATCAAGCTTTGCACGTACTTTTGTTGGTTGAGATCCCAGATTTATAACTCAATGTTTAAATGGAATAAATCATGATAAATCAGTATATCAATCATTTATCTAATTTATCTAAGGTTCCCCATGGTTCCCCAGATACAACCAGCTCCCCAATCGCCGACCTGGTGTCTGGAAGGACCTTCTCGCAGCACCAGGGTAGATGTGGCATCCACCGCAGTGACTTGACTGGTTTAATGCACTTCCCTATGAAATCATGAAAGGTTCCCATTTCTTTTAATGATTTGGCAGGTAAAGAATACATGTTAGTTATTGTGAGTGTTATTGACTTTACCAACATCATTTAGAGACTTTCGGACGGCGATTTACCAACAGAAGTTCATATTAATTCCTTATTGGATCATAGTAAATCCATGTGAATCCATTATTTCCCAAATCCTTCGACCCACGAACGACGGCCTAGGTTGGTGCATCAGCCATCGCCCTCGCTCGAAGGCGGGCCACACGTGCCACTTGGTATCACAGAGGCGGATCCATTGTTCGGGGTTTCGAACAATGGCTGTAGATCCAGCCATTTTCCATAGGAAAATCATCCAGAAATGTGAGTTTAACCGTCTATGTATATGGGGATGCAAATATTACCATATATGATCATATTTGGGGGAATCTACATCCATTAACAAGCCTTTTCAGGGTACCTAGGGTATCAGGGTATTGACCCATAAGATGGAGAAATCAGAATCAATTAGTAATCAGTGGAGCATTCATGAACATCACAAATAAGAACAATGTCTAAATTGGGATGTAGCTTGGGCCTTTTCTATTGCCGAGTGAGACAGTATTTGAACAGTTCGCCAGCCTAAAATCAGTGTTTTTTTATGTGTGTGTGGATACATCAAAAAGCTGGGAATCTTGACCAACTTCATATATGTTACCATTCAATGTCATTCCACAATATCATACCTGTATGTATGTTATAAGTTATAATATATATATATATATAATATTTATGTATAATATAATTATATATATATATATGTGTATGAATATAAATGATGGCCACGTCCATGGATTTGGCAGACATAGGAATTCCCAGGGATCTGCATCATCTGTAGCAAGGCTTCTTGCCGCGCAGACCCTTCTGACCTCGAGAAGGTGCGGATCGATTTCTGCCAGGTTGAGATCCTCTTTTTTTCATACGGAGTGACCCTTACTGTAGTTACCCCCGAAATATGGAACATAGCCATGGAAAATTGCCCATTTATAGATGGATTACCTATTAAAAATGGTGATTCTCCATGGCTATGTTAAATAACCAGATGGTAAATATGGGTGAAAGTCTTAAAGTCATCAGCTATAGCAATAGATAGCAATGTGCATTCCAAAAAATAAGAGACCGTTATTTTTCTTGTGGATCCTTCAAGATTCCTTTAATGTGGGCCCCCTTTATGAAACAGTAAGCATAACCTTGTCATAAACCAACCCTCTGGTAGTCCAACATAGCTTTGGGATGCTTTGGGAAACCACCACTTTTAATAGGTTTACATATATACATAGATAATCATTAAATAGGCAAAATGAATCAAAATGATCCAGATACGTTTGATTTCCAGATGGTAAATACCCATTAAATGCCAGTAGATCACCATTTGTTGATGCTTACAGTAGTCCTCATGAAATATCCCGTGAAATCACCATGAAATCAGCATGAAATTCCTCAGATCCAGAGGAAGCCGCTCGCATCCGTGCCGAAGCTCTGGCCTTGGAGGAAGAGCAGAAGCAGCAGCGTCGGGAACAGCGTTCCTTGGGAGTAACGAAGCGTCGGGAGCAGGTGATGTTTGTGTCGACCGAATGGGGAATTTGGTCAACCAGTAAATTGACATGAGGAGCCTGCCATGACTTAGGGGTTGGAAGATTAGTCTCCAGTAAAGGTGGGCGA